ATGGAGACCTGGGCCCTGACCTCCTGCTGGTCTGGACACCCCAAGGACTCAGGACCCTGTACCCTGATGCTCAGGGGCACCCACCTCTCCCCTTGACCTCCCTCTCCCCAGCCTGACCTCCTGAGGAGTCAGAGTAACCCTGTGACCTCTAGCTGGGGGAATCTCCTCAGACCCTGGGTCTTGTTTCCTGCATCACGATACCTGTCTGGAGGAGCTGGAGTGGGACGAACAACAGCTGTGGGCTGTGTGTGCTCAAGTAGGGTCTGGCTGGGGTCCACACCTACCTGTGAGGCCAACTGGGACCCAGGGAACCTCAAGGCTGCATGGGGTGTTCCTGTCCTGGTTTCTTGCAGTGAGCTGGCCCCTAGGCAAGTACCCTATCCGATGCCCAGGCCAGGCTGGCCCACCCAATAGGCGCCCATTCAGCCCGGGGACCTTAAGTTGGCCTCTTGTGGGCTGTGCTCCAGCTCCAGCTTCAGCACTTGGACCCTCGGGGAGCCCAGCCACCCGCAGATGTGACTCATCCTGGTGTGAGGTGGGTCTGGGGTGGAGAGCGTGGGTGGGTGAGAGGTGCAATTTGAGCCCTGAGGACTGAGGTTAGGGGCTGGTTTCTGGGAGGAGCAGATGTGACTTGGAGGCCTGGGGGGAGGGTTGGGCCAGCCAGGGAAAGAGACAGAGCACCCAGTGACTTACACAGTCAGCAGTGGCTCCCTCTGGCCATCTGCCTCCTGTCAGCACTGAGAAAACTGCTCAGCCCACCTGATTGAGGAACAGGGTCTCCTATTGACCACCTGATTCCTGCTCAGTGGGCCATGCTTCACGTATGTGGTCCATTTCTGTCACCTGATACTGTCCTGTGTCCAAGGTTAGTGGCAGAATAGTGAGCCCCAGAGATGTTCTTGTCCTGACCTGGCCCCTGTGAATATGTCACTTCACGTCGGAGAGGGGAATGAAAATCACTAAATGGGGAGATTATTCTGGATCCTCTGGTGGCCACCTGTTATCACAGGGTCCTTAGAAATAGAGCAGGAGGGAGACAGGGAGGACCAGAGGGGCACAGCCGAAAAGGACTTGGCTAAGGCAGGTAGAGGAAGGGGTCACAAGCCAAGCAAGGGCCACGGCCTCCAGGAGTCTGAAGGGCAAGAAGCAGGTTCTCCCCGGAGCCTCCAGGGGGAACCAGCCCTGGGACACCTTGATTTTAGGTCAGTGTGACCGTGTCCTACTTCACACCTCAGGAGCTGTGCATAATAAGCTGCTGTTTTCAACCTCAATGAGTTTGTGGGAAACAAACACACCAGTGTACCTGCTTACCTGGCGTTGAGGGGGCTCAGCAGGGTCCCCGGGTGGCACTGGGTGCTGGTGAATTCCCCTAAAGTGTGTAAAATACTGTTACATGTCTACATGCATTTTTAGAAACGAGCTCATAACTTTCATCAGAATCTCAAAGTTAGGAGCATGACTCCATCCGTATAGATGGGGACTACAGGGCTGGTGTGGTTTCCCTCACTGATTTGTGAGGGACTGAGCTCTTTTCCCACCTCTCCGCCTCTCCCAAAGTCTCTCCCTGTCTGGGTCCCACCCTCCCCACCCTGGGTGTTTCCCCCCTCTCTTTGCTGACTAATGCCACCCCGTAGCCTGCTGCCTTTGAGCTTACTGTGGCTGCAGCCCTCAGGTGTGGTTT